TAACTGTAGGAAGGTTTGACCAAGCATGAGTTTGAGATGACCCTAACTGTAGAAAGGTTTGATCACTTGATTTGAAAGTAGACCTCTCGTTCATTGGAGGAATCGAGAGGGGATTTTGATTGTGGTCCCAACTGTAGGTTTGACCTAAAAGCAAAGGGAGTGGAATAAAAGTAGTAGTAGAAATACTGGTTTGTACTGGCCACTCGATGAAGGGTTTTGATGTTAAGTAATCAGGACTTAACACGTCAAGCTTTGGAAATTACCATGAATTGGCGGATAGAAAATTTAGTGGACCCATCGTCAATTGACTTGATCAGTGGGGGATTTTTGTGAGGAAAGATTAATCTGTCAAAAGGATCGAATCTCGTCTCAACAAGATAACTCATGAGAATTAGTGAATTTGATAACAATAATGGAAAACATTCCGACATTTAGAGTTTAAATGTGGATGTTTTACTTATCACTTTTATAGTGATTGGGTTATCCCTAAGAATATCACCCATGGTATTCTTTCGGGAACTTCCCGATACATGAATAATCCACCCCCAGCTTCCCTTGTGGAACTGGGTCCGACATTGTACTTAGTTACATAACCGGATTATCCTTAAGAATATTACATATAAAAATTCTCCAGGAACTTTCCCTGAAAGAAATGAAATAGTTTAGACTCATATACATGTTAGAGTATCAGGGAGCAGTTCAACCTCTTATACCGGTCGGAGGATTGAGAAGCAGTTTATACTCTTATACTTGTCAGAGTCTAGAAAGGAGCAGTTTATACTCTTATACTTATCGGAGTGTTAAGAAGCAGTTTATACTCTTATACTTGTCGGAGTCTTGCCGTTCTCAATTGGCTTACCCTAGCGTTATAACGCCGGCTTCAACCAATGTTTGGATGCTGTTCTTTAAAGTAAAGCACGCCTTGGTGGGATGAAGGACCCTCTTGTGGTACGCACAGTACTTCGGATCCGCAGTATTGTCAGCTTCCTCCTGATTTGCGATAGGTGATAGCTTGATCTTGTTGTTTTCAAGGAGGGATTCGAAGATGGCTGGAACGTCTTCGTCCTTGAATGAGTACTCTTTTTGGAGCCTCTGATCCGAAGTCTTCTGCTGTCTCCGGGGCTGCTGTTGCGACGTTTAATCAATAGCCGCTGCAGGTGCCTTGCCCCTACCACGGGAGGCGAAGTTCGAGTTCGGAGGATTAGCTATCGGTTAGCTCCTCTCGGCCTTCTTCCTTTTGAGGAATCGCTCGGCTTGCTCTCCTCGGACCTTCAAATCCTTCTATGTTTTGGACGATGCTGTCCCCATTGCTTCCAACACGCCCAATGCGAGGTTGTTGTGGCAAGTTTGGAGAATGAACTCCTCTGTGATCGGGTCCCGAAAGTTCATCGCTTTGTTCCGGAACCTTTTGACGAAGGTATCAACTAATTCTCCGTCTTTCTGTTTCTCGTCAAGCAACGACCCGATGGATATCTCGGTGTCATCGTCGAAGAAGTCGGTGAGGAATTTAGTCTCCATGTCGTCCCAACTATTCATATTTTCTGGCTTGAGGCGGCGATACCAATCGAAGGCGGCTCCACGAAGAGTGCCAACGAATGACCGTACCATCAGAGGCTCATTACCAGAGATAACCCCTAGGTGTGATTTGAAGTAAATTAAATGCTGAGTGGGTGAACCCTCCCCATCAAACGGCGTGAAGTTAATTAGATTGAACTTCGCCGGATACGGGATTGATTCCCATTCTCTTGGGTATGGACAAGGAATGCCCGTCTTTTTTATCTTTTGAGCGGAAATCAACGTATTGACTTTGCTCTCGAGGTTTTTAATCTTCAAACTTTCACCTGTGTTTTCGCTAGCATTCTCATTACCACCACCTGCATTGACGGGAGGATTATTGGCATTATGAGCTTCATTCGCATTTGTGTCCTCATCTTCCTGATTAACCTGGTTACGACGACTTGGTTCGCCTTGCTGGTTTGTCAGTGCTTGGATTTGTTGGTCATGCATTTCTCTCATATTCTGCATGGCCATCTGCATTTCAAACCTGAAGCTCTCCTGTTGTTTAGCCATGGCTTCTTCGAGCATCTTGGCCACTTGTTCCGCACTTATCATAAGTGACTCGCGGGGTTGTCCTTCGCTGGATACTGTATTATCTGATGCGACAGCAGAGCATGCATCCGATTCTTCATCTTCTGAAGGTAATCTTGTCCGAATCCTACCATAAGTTGCTCGTATGATGGCTCCAGACTGCAGACGTGTTACACGCCGGGGTACTTCCGAAATTGACTTGGGATTATCCTATGTCGATGTCCCTTTGCTGGTCATATTAGTGGTGACCCTCAGAAATTCTCCATCTTCAACTACCGTTCTTCTTCGTCGGAAACGCCTAGGCCTTGGTTTTGGCGTTTCAGTACTGAGCCTTTAGAAAATCGAAATTCTTTCGGGGACTGTCTTGATGTAGTTGCACTCAGACAATACTGCTCGAATAAGTTTGGAACAGGGGCATTGAGTCTCTAGTTCTCGAGGACTCCTTTTCCTGGTTTTACTCGTACTCCCAACACGATAGTACAACTCATCGGCTTGAAGGTTAGAGTAACCTATCGTGTGTTGGCACGACTTCTCAGGTATAACGTCATCATTATCAGACGACAATGTTTCCTTCTAAGGGCGAACTGCCTTCTTTGGGCTTTCAAGAGTCACGCGCCTCGAAACATGCCTTTGTGGGCGTGAGTTCTCAGCGGGCTCCTGGACTTCAATGCGCAAATTGGTGCGCGTAGCTGCCATGAACTTCTTGTCATGTTGAAGGTGGCGGCGACCCCCAGCATGTTGAGTCGTTCGGGGCTTCTTCATCGGACCCAAACGTTCTTGAACTGGAGCTTTGCATCCCTCATCGGGAAGTGGACCGAGGCGCTCCAAAACTGACTTCTTTCTTCGGGATGATTCTGCGGGATCTCCCGGAGTAGCTACTGGAATTACCGGTGATTTAGGTTGGTTCACTGGAAGTTGAACTTGCGTTGAAGGTTGCAATGATTGTTCCTTAGCCTGAATTGCCATTTCAGACTTCGGCCTCCATACTTGGCGGGTTGGTGGCGGCTTTTTGGCCACTTCCTTCTGCAGTCTTCTGCGGGCTTCTTGGGCTTGAGCCCGTGCCTGTGCTGACAGTGCGCGGCGCTTGCGAATGCGCTCATCAAGTGTTGAACGATTCCGTTTAACACGGATCCATTCATTCATTGGCGGCTTGGAGGAGCTGCCATTCATTGTTTGTTGAGGCTGTTTGCCTCTCCTGCTCTTCAGATCCGTGTTATAGCGGATTCCGTCAGTGGATTCCATTGCCTTCGCGAATTGTCGCGCCAGGCGTTGACGTCGCCTCTGGCAGGCTCTCTTTGAGAGAGTCACTACGCCCTCAATGGTGGAGGAATTAGCGAGAACAGGTTTGACCTGGTTGGAGGTCGGTGGAACTTCACCCGATGCAACTTCGGCATCAATTGGGGTGAGATCTTCGTTGGCATTCTACACTTCTTCGTACCAACGGACTTTTCTCCTGGAGGAGAACTTCTTGGACTTGAGGGGGAAGGTAGATCCGGACGATGATGACAGATACTCCTTGAACTTTTGTTGGTCGAATTCATACTCGACCTCCTCCTCGACCGAGATCGAGATCCACGGCTGCGACGCAACGATCTCGGCAACGAGATCGGTGACTCCCACTGTGGTCGCCAGATTGTTCGCGGGGAAAATAGCGTTCTTCTTCATTGATGATTCCATTATCATCTTAAATAACAACTTTTTGAGTTACAAAGATCCGGTCTTTTTATAAGATCCGGTTACAATGAAAAAAAAATAAAAAGAAAAGATTACAATTTCTCCTTGTTTGTCGAACAAATCACGAGCTCCTGTTTTGCGGTCGCTCGCTTGCGTGGGTTTTTTACCTGCGCCGGGGTTTATCCGTGGACCACCATGAGATCTAGATCCGGTCGGATCTACACAGTATGGCGGGTATTATTTCACGAAGGAAATAATAGCCGGGGAGGATTAGTTCACCAAGGAAATAACCGTCCAAATCTCGGGATCAAAGGCCAAGCTTTGATCCGGAGCACGCCTGCGTAGATCTAAGATCCGGTCCTCTCGAACACCTGCCTTATTTGGCGTTGACGATCGCCGAGCACCAGATCTGGATGAGCAAGTCCTCGAAGTCCCAAAGCTTGGATCTTTTTTAAGTTCTGAGTCTTGAATCCAGCAGGGCTTCGCCTCTCCAAATTTTCCAACATTTTGAAATGAACCAAGGGGAGCCTATTTATAGGCTCTCTGAACTGTGCCCGGGCACAGATCTGGCCGGCCACCTATAGGTGGCTCGGCTCTGGGCCGGCCACCTATAGGTGGCTCGCGGCCTTGGTCGAGCCACCTTGAGGTGGCTCGGTTCCGGCCGAGCCCCTCTAGGTGTTGGGTTTCTGCTATTTTCCGTCGTTATATCCGTTTTTTCGGTTCTGTGGTTGATTTGTCTGGATTTGAATCGTTGACCTGATTTGGCAGTAAATCTGATTCCTGATTTGGCAGTAAATCCACTTCTGATTTCAAGTCCGAAACTGATCTTGATTCGATCGTGATTCGTCCGAGTCTACCCTTGACTCGTTGACTCTTCGAACCCGTTAGCTTGATTCCGCACGTGAATGGATTTATTCCGTTGCTTGCGTGCCATTCGTTAACCTCGTTGCCTCGTTGGTTCGTCGGTTCACTGCCTCGTTGGTTCATCGGTTCGTGCTGAGCCGTATTAAGGGACCTATAAGCAATTTTATACGCCTACAAGCGGGAGGAGCAATACCTTGAGCTAGATTAGAGAAAAGATTAGATGACTCCAGCACATTGATATCATTATTGGTGCCTAGCATACCGAAATATGCGTGCCATATCCAAAGATCATAATCTGCCACAGCTTCAAGGATAATAGTTGGTGACCCACAACGTCCTGCGTATTACCCAGACCATGCCGTTGGACAATTTTTCTATTTCCAATGCATACAATCAAGACTTCCTAACATTCCTGGAAAATCATGTTTTTTACCAATATAGAGTAGCCTAGCAATATCGTTAGCGTTAGGTGTTCGTAGATACCGTTCTACGAATATTTTCACCATAGCACGATAAAATTTTGTCATACTTTCAATTGCTGTTGACTCACCTATTTTAACGTATTCGTCCGTAGCATCAGCTGGTAGACCGTATGCCAACATGCAAAAAACAGCTGTTACTTTCTGTAACGGTGATAATCTAATTCTACCAAGTCCATCACTTCGTTGTTGGAAGTAATAGTCATGATCTTTCACTGCATCAACAATACGAAGGAACAAACTTCTTGACATCTGATGTCGACGACGAAACATATCTTCTCCAAAACGTGGATTATCTGCAAAGTAATCTATAACCAAATTCTGATGCGCAGTTTCTCGATCGCGGTTGATCACTGCATGATCGGGAATCGAGCCACCATGGATCAGTTGGTAGTTTTGTTCACGTAAATTGTTAATGAGGATCATGTTGTTGTTGATGTACTCACAAATTACTTCTTCTTTTATCAATCTCTGCAATGATATTGGACAGAAAATTATCATCATCCGAAGATGAAGATGATGATAAATATGATGGACCTCCAGCATCGAAATTCATTTTTGAAGTAAGGAAAGAATGACTGAAGTATGCAGAAATGGAGAATACTAATTTTAACACAACAACGAGTAATTGTGTGGATGTACCTAATCTAGTATGCTATTTATAAAACTTTGCTTAGCTGTATTTTATGTTTTATTTTAATAAAGTTTTATATTATGCGTGGCAGTTTTTATATATTATGTATTTCAGATATGTAATTTATATTTGAATTATGTATTAGGATTGCTCTTTATATTTCATGGGACTTTACTTAATGTCTAGATTTTAATATTATAATTAATAATAATGTCTTTTAAATTTGGGAAAAATGTGTCCAGGCCCCAAAAGTGGGAACTTCGTGTGACTAGCCCCCCTGTACTTTTCCCCATGTGGAATAGCCCCAAATACGCATAGTATTTGCGACGAGGCCCCGAATTGACTTTTTTTCAGAAAAAGCCAGAGGAAGTTACGATCTTGCCCTCTGATGGGACTGAGCTGGGTTAATGTGCCCCTCACCTTTACAAGTACTCTCCCTCTCTTTCTCTCTCTTCCACCTAGCACCGCCATCAAGAACTCTTCATCTTCCTAATTTCTGTACGAATTTCAACGTTTCTAGGGTTTTCGCCGGAAAAATGTCGTCGTCTACGGAAGAATCCAGTAACGACTACGAGGTCGGGCACCGAGTCGAGTTGGAAGGAAAAGGCGCTTCATCTGTGGGTGGCAGCACGGAGGAAGCTACGGAAGCTACAAAAACCCTAATCGAAATGCAAAAGGAGGCATTACAATGGCGAGACCAGAAAAGGAGGACGACAATGGCTGGTCGTACCAACGAATCCCCCTCAAAAAAAAAAGTAATGTTATGTTATACTGCGAACAGACAATGCAGATTAACCCAATATTGTTAGTTCTAGGCTTTGTCCAATGTTTGAGACCAACGTTAGTTCTAGTTTAAGTCCAATGTTATCTCTAATTTGAGTCCAATGTTAGTTCTATAATATTACGTGTTAGCTCTATTTTGTTCCTGTTAGTGCTAGGTCTAATATTGTTAGTTCTAGGCTTTGTCCAATGTTAGTTCTAGTTTGAGTCCATTGTTAGTTCTATAACACTACGTGTTAGCTCTATTTTGTTCCCGTTAGTGCTAGGTCTAATATTGTTTCATATGTCTTATTGAACTTACAAATTCGAAAAATTTTTGTAGAGAAAAAATTGCTCTAACAGGCTCAGCAGAAACACTAAGGTTAATTTATGAAGCGCATTTCCCCGAAGATCCGTCAGTGGCATAGGGATGCATACCGCGGTTCTATATTTCAGCACTGCATTTTGTTTGGGGCTCCTGCGCCTGATCGGCCCACCCTTGAGCTGCTGCTGAGCTTTTTCGATAGAGATAATAACACCTTTTGTATACCTGATTCAAAAAGTGGGGGTATGAAAAATGTTAGTTTTGATTTGCAATGGGTCCATAACCATACTTATTTCCCAATTTATGGGGAGGACATAAGGAACAATAGGGACTCAAGAAGCAGAATATGGCTGGAATACTTCTCTAAGCTTTTCATTTCTGAAGAGGGTAAGAAGTTAAAAAAAGCAGAAACCAGCCAACGTAAACATCTTGAAGGGCTACTTGAACGGCTTGTTGAATCTACCAAAAAGCGGGATATCGAGGATTTTGCTCTGCAACAAATTTTGTACCAATGCTCTATGATATGGAGTCCCATAGCAGGGGAAGGTATCCCTAGACCCTTACTCAGGTACCTGGATAGCATTCAGAGGGTCAATTCTGTTGCATGGGCCCCGTTCTTTTATAATGAAATTATCAGGGGCATTGGAGTTGCTTTGGAGGGAAAGAAGAAGCAAAAGGTCGCATATGTCCCAGGTTGCATGACACTATTGTGTGTAAGTTCCATATTTTACTGATCTTGTTTTATTCTTGTTCGTACATATGCATTGTTAGTTCTAACTTATTCTATGTTAGTTCTATTCTGTAGCGTGTTACTTCTAATCTTCACATTGTTAGTTCCATTCTGTAGAGTGTTAGTTCTAATCTGTAGATTAGAACTCACACGCTACAGACAGATTAGAACTAACACTCTACAGAATAGAACTAACACTATGCAGATTAGAACTAACACTCTACAGAATAGAACTAACACTGTGCAGATTAGAACTAACACTCTAAAGAATAGAACTAACACTGTGTTAGTTCTATTCTGTAGAGTGTTAGTTCTAATCTGCACAGTGTTAGTTCTATTCTGTAGAGTGTTAGTTCTAATCTGCACAGTGTTAGTTCTATTCTGTAGAGTGTTAGTTCTATTCTGTAGAGTGTTAGTTCTATTCTGTAGAGTGTTAGTTCTATCTGCACCCATGTAAGTTCTATCATAGGTCATGTTAGTTCTATCATAATTCATGTCGTACCACGTACTAATTTACACCATGTTAGTTCTAGATGCAGCCATATTTTATTCTCTTTAGTCTAGTCTAGTATTAAATGTTAATGGTAAATATATTATTTGGTACAGCTTTGGTACTACGAGATGACAGGCATAAAGAAATATGCCCTCTTAGACACCTCCAGACCTCCAATGACAAATTGGGCATCAGGGGAGGAGAGAATCGCATCTATGAGGATGCCGACAATTATTTCAAAGGCTAAGTCAGCGTCAATAACATTTGTCCATAGGCCTATTGCGGAGGTCGCTTCTCCTGGTCATGTTCATCCACTTCCCGCTGAACAGAGGGATGAAGTTCTTCAGCAAAAGCGTCAGGCAAAGAGGAAGACTTTGCAGGAAGAAACTACTAAGAACTTCTCAATAGGTTACGTAAGTATCCTGTTATGTTAAGTCGTACTCATTTCACACTAACTGCAAAGAATATCCTAATTATGTTTAATCCTACTTAAAATTATAATCTTGTATCAATAACAGATCATGGCAAAGCATATTGACGTTGCTTTTGACGATGAAGAGGAGATCAATGTTCTTCCCATTGAGCAGCAACTCACATTTTGGAGAAATTCTGCTAAATTTCTCAAGCGACTTCTTGATGCTACAAAGCAGACCAAGAGCAAATATTGTAAAGAATTCATGATTGAGATCAACAGGCTTAACAGGATAATTGAAAAATGTGGAAGACATGATGAGGTTATAGACCCAGTGCTGCTTAAGTCAAATATCAAACAGAAAATTGCAAATGAAATTAGGAAGAAGCGACAGGGAGCTCAAGAGGAACAGAAGTCCAAAACAAGCAGTGTATATAAGGAAGAGCCCACCAGTCAAGAACATGTACATAAGATTGTTGAAGAGGATGTAAAGCATCTTGCTGACGATGAGGCAATAGAAGAGGAGCCAGTTACTTCTCCAGGGGAGGGGGTATATAGTAAGGTTGACCAGACTGTAGATACTAAGGTTGATGATAGTGTAAATAAGGAAGAGGAGCATATGCAACATATTGTAGATATGGAAGAGGAGCATATGGAACATATTGTAGATATGGAAGAGGAGCATATGGAACATATTGTAGATATGGAAGAGGAGCATATGGAACATATTGTAGATATGGAAGAGGAGCATATGGAACATATTGTAGATATGGAAGAGGAGCATATGGAACATATTGTAGATATGGAAGAGGAGCATATGGTAGATAAGGAAGAGGAGCATATGGAAAATGAAAATTTTATTGTAGATAACAAAGGTTTTGATGAGGATACTGTTGATGGTGTAGATAAGGAGGAAGATATTGTAGATAAAGGCAAGGAGAATGTAGATAAGTTGGAAGCACAGGAGGAAGAGGATCTTGTGAATATTGAACATAATGTGGACAAACTTGTAGATGTTCTAACGAGCAATGTGAAAGCAAAGCGTAGACCAAAGGCAAAAAGGGTAAGCAAGAGATCTAAATTCAAGAGGACACCATATACTGAAGGCAAAAGAAAGAAAAAGGAAAAAATTAGTATAGATATACTTGAAAGTCCTGAACCAAAAGTAAAACTAGCTGAAAAAGTTACTCATTTTTATCCCGGTATTCAAATCCCCACTTTTGATGCGTTGAGTTTCAAGCCAATGACAGATGAAGAGGAAGCTCTATTGGGAGAGCTGAATAATGAGCTTCCAGACCCTACATTGTTTAACTTACGCATAATAGATAGCACAGGTGCTTTTGTACATAATTTAAAGATACCATCTCCCGTAGCAGAAAGACTCGACAAAGCTGAAATTGATAGCCTAACCAAATTTTGTTCTCAGAAGATTCACAAGTAAGTTTCAGTTGACTATTTATATGCTAATTCTCCACATATTAGTTCTAATTCATGTTAGTTCTAATTTATACCAGGAGATATAATGTTATAGTAACAACCAACAGCACTATTAACAGGGAAGAGTTGTTATATGTGCTTCGTGGTGGCCGCCTTGACGACAAGGTTAACATATACTTCCTTAATAATTCAAATTATATTGTTTAAATTGAATTTTAATGTTTCATAACAATTACAGGTGGAAGAAGCAGTTTTGGACACGATTAGCCAGGAGGCATACGGCAAAGGATATGGAGTGGTATCGGTGTTCTTTCTTGTAAGAACATGCTATTCCTAATTTCACCACGTTAGTTTTGATTGAAATTCATGTTAGATCTTGTGTAATCCATGCTAGTTATACCATGAGTCACGTTAGTTCTAGTTAGCATCAAATTAGACCTACCATAAGTCATGTTAGTTCCGTTCTTTAGAGTGTTAGTTCTATTCTGTAGAGTGTTAGTTCTAATCTGCACAGTGTTAGTTCTATTCTGTAGAGTGTTAGTTCTGTTCTGCACAGTGTTAGTTCTAATCTGCACAGTGTTAGTTCTAGTCTGTACAGTGTTAGTTCTATTCTGTAGAACGTTAGTTCTATTATGTAGCGTGTTAGTTCTATTCTGCACAGTGTTAGTTCTATTCTGTAGCGTGTTAGTTCTAATTAATACGGTGTTAGTTAGCCTTCGCAGCTCATGTTTGTTTTAATTTCAACTCAAACATGATGTGTTTGCAGCACTCACTCTATGGCTTGGAGGTGAACAATTACGAGCATTATCTGAACTTCATTGACAAATATACCGCATACCGCATAGAGCATCTCTTGATCCCTTTGGTCAGGGACGACCATTGGCATCTTGTAGAAGTTGACCTTAAAGATAAAGTCGTCAAGCATTACAGCTCCGCTGGGCACGAAGCTTGGATGGAGCCTGTTAATAAAATCATAAAATTCTTTGATGCCCATCATGCTGATTTTATTGAAGACAATGTGCGCCAAATATTTAGATATCAAGCCATCAAATGCGAGCAACAAAGAGGACGGTTAGTTCCGATGTCTATATTGTTCAAATTTGTGTTATAGTATTCGAACGGACCGAAAATGTCTAATGAACTCACTCTATGTTGCAGCTTTGACTGTGGTGTGTTCGTCTACCTCTTTGTAAAATCCATAATTGAAGGACGATCAACATTGCTGGTTAATCCTCCGAACGATATCCCTGAAGCTATGCGAGCAAGACTTGCCGCACAATTATTACTGGCTGGTTTTGAACAAAGACATAAAGAA